CTAACACCCCGACATTGCGATGCGGATGCTCACACCCCGATAGGCGGAGATATCTAGAACACCGTTCGGTGTAAGCATCTGAAGCCAGAGGATCCGAGTACGGCCAACCGGGCTATGCTCACTTAAAGGGGACATATGCTCTACATATGTGTAAGGTTTTGAACTAAACAGCCATATTGAAGACCTTTCGATGCAGCTCACGGCTACGCCCTTTTAAAGTTTAAGCCCTTCGGTTCCTGAGCTTCAAGGCGGCAAAGATGCGTGAGAGTAATTGTGGTAGAGTATTTTAAGGTCACCTTGGAATGCATGACGTCATAGATAAAGTCATTTCATGCATGCGGTCACTCCACTGTCCATGCGCCGATTAGGGCCAATAAAATCGAGTTAAGAACAATTATGAGCTGTCATAATGTTCGCGAGCATAATTTCCAGATATAACGGCGGTCTATTGAATCTCAAGCAATGTTGTGCAAAGTACGTTGACGTAATCAAACAATGGCATATTGAGCAGCAAATTTACTAAGTGGAGAAATTCTGTTGTCTAGTGCAGTCTTTTACATTTAAAAGTGTGCCAACCAGCTGAACCAACTAGTGACTTTTTCGTCATATTTGATGCTTGATTCAGTATCTTCAAATGTGGAACATTCTGTTTAAAGGGGCCAGAGTTGGGCAAAAATGACAAAGTTCTGTACTTTGAAGACAATCCGAGCAACGTTGACGCTGGGAATGTCGTATTTGAAAGCTCCTTGTGCAAAGTGAAACATTTTGTGAAAACCAAGACACCTTGAAATCTGCGTCCCCCCTCCTCTAAGGTCGTGTTCTAGTTCCACTCTATCTGAAAATCCGCCTAGCGAGGATGTCTAGCGCCACGCCCAGTCAACCTGTCTAACACCCCGCCCAGTGACTGTCTAGCACCCCGTTCGGCGAGGCTGTGTGGCCGCCGGCACCGGCCGCCGCCCACCCGTCCCGGTATCTCGCTCGGACGGCGCCGGGCGCCCGCGTATCCGGGGTGCGGGGGAGGTCAGAGCGGAGGCACTCCGTCTCTCGAGTGTTTGCCTCCGGGGCACAGAGCGTCGCAGCGCTATCGCTGCCTGACAGCTCGGATTAGCGCCCGTCGGGTGTGGTGGGGGAGGGGGAGGGGTACGCCGCCGTCGACTTACCTTGCAGGCTTCTTCCGAGGCCTCTGGCAATTCATGGCTCATTTCCGTCATTTACAATTGTTTAACAATCAACGCAAGTGGTTGCTATGGCCATGGGCGTCGCCTCACTTCGTTCAAAGTCATGGTTAGGAAATGCCGTTTGTGGTGGGAGTCGAACTCAGGTACCTCATCTAAACACTATCATCACACCTTCACTTCCCAGACCCTCACCAATGCAGAATGCAGTGACCTGGATATTCAGACTAGCACACCATGCACTCTATGCACGAGGATTTGCAATGGAGGGGTCATGAAGTGGGACGGAGTGATGTGGAGTGGCCGGTTCTTCACGAAGATCCGCAGTTTTATCCCGGGTCGGCGGCGTATCGTGGCGCTCGCTTCACGGATCGGCGGCCTTCAACACCAAAGCAGCGCGTCTCTGAGCGGCCTCTGACCTGTTGTGCTGTCGACAGGCCTACAGGCGGCCCCCGAGCGACCGGAGGGTGGCTTCTCATGCCCCCGCCCCCAGGGCCTCTTCGCGCACCCCTACGACTGTCACAAGTTCCTGCACTGCGACCATGACCATCCGTATGTCAAGGACTGCCCGCCGCCGACCTGCACTTCAACCCCAAGATCATGGTGCGTGTAGCTCCGTATAGCGTATAGCCGTCTCCAAGCAGGAGTAGGACGTCTCGAAAAGTCGGCAAAACGTCACAAATATTTGTAAAGTCAACCCGTTCCACGCATGACTAGTGGCACCATAAGTTGAAAATCAAACGGTTGTAAAGGGCGGTGGACCATGCTCCATCAAATTTGGTGATTATTTGTTTCCACGTCTGTTCGTCCGCTTTGCATACATCACACCTGGTTGTCGGTCCAAGCCTGTTGGGGTCCCACCACTGATGCTCTACAGACTTGTTGCTTGTCATCTTGTGGTGTGGGCTTTTTGACAAGACAAAGAACGTTCCATGAGCGAGGGTATCACAGACTACAATAATATGTCAGCGGTTCAAATCATAGTTCCCATATAACATTATATATATATATATATATATATATATATATATATATATATATATATATATATATATATATATATTATATATATATATATATGTGTGTGTGTGTGTGTGTGTGTGTGTGTGTGTGTGTGTGTGTGTGTGTGTGTGTGTGTGTGTGTGTGTGTGTGTGTGTGTGTGTGTGTGTGTGTGTGTGTGTATACTCCCCATTGTGACATCGTCACACACCGCCGTCGTTCCGCCGCCGCCGCTGGCCGTCAGCGGCATCGCCCGCTGGGCTTCGCCCTCATGGCGGTACGCGCTCTGATTGGCCCGCCGGCGGTGGTCGGCAGGTGTGTGATTGGCCGGAGAGGCGGGAGCCGTCCGGGCGCGCACACCGAACCCGCCCACGCCCGACGTGTCGCCTGAGCCCGGCATGGAGTGCGACTGCGAGTGCTGCCTGAAGCCCAACGGCGACGACTGCACCACCTTCTACCTGTGCAAGGTGGGTGTACAGGCCTGACCGATCGCTGAGCGTGGCCGCGACGTCGGCATGGCCTGAGTGAAGCGTGGTGATGGCGGGCCATATTTGGAATGGGGCAGGGATAGATGTCTTTC